ATAATGACTTCACTGACACAGTTATACTTAGAGTCTAATAAAAGTCTATAGCAGCAGCAGCAGCAGCAGCAGAAGAAGAGGCTTGCTTCCTGCATTACACTGTAAAGGCATTCATTATGAGCTGTCCCTTTTCTGCACTGGTCCAAATTCAATCTCATGCACGGCCACTCTGCATTACGTCTCACTGTCTTCCATAATAGTCCAGCGCTTGGCATTGTGGGTAACCGCCTCCGGCACACCTGACAGTCAATGAGCACCAGGAATTCAAATGAGATACTCACATATTTTAATCAGTTTTATTACTCACCTGCTAGCGTTAAGATATTTAGTTGCTTGTAATGCTACACTGGCTCAGCACTTTGATGAAGACATTGAAGAAGAGAGGGACAGAGGACAGAGGCATAGGCAGGAATATCAATGTCTTTTGGAATCATTTGGAAGAGAATTGATAAAGTAGTTTCACATCCCCACCATCCTGGGTCCTAAAGTGCAGTGCTCAGCTTCCTGTGTTAGTTGCTGTGGTGATGGGGATGCTGCAGTTTGAGCTCCAGCTGAACAGCTGTTTTTTCTCTTACTCCCTTTTAAAACACAATCCATTCATCCAGGAGCACGTTTGATGCTCACAAAGTTACTTTCCAGGGAAAGCCTCTGCTGTCGATAAATAGAAGAAAGGCTGTGTTTTATTATGTGCAGCAGTGACTGGTACAATAGAGCATTGTAATGATTACTTAAAAGTATGTATTCTAATGTATCTACAGCGTATTGGAGGCTGAAAAGTAGGCCTGTCATGGTAACACATTTTGAAGTGCTATATTTTGCTGAATTAAATATAGATGTTAAACAATAATATTAAATTTAATTTGTTCTTCTGACACAATAATGCTAAAGCAGGATTATCCTCCAAAAATATTGTACATGTACAGCAAATTCACTGCAATAAATAAATGGCAGATATGAAACACTAGAAGTTATTTATCCAACATTTTTAGCTCAGATATCATCATAATACTGAAAAAATAACATGATTTTCCTCACTAGTACAATGAAAAATACCCATGATAAATATTGTGCCCCAAAAGTTATTGTTTCAACTATTATTTATTGTACGGTTAGTTGATGTAGTGCAATCATGCTAAACAGTAGATTTATCAGCATATTGTTCAGCATAGTTGTTAAAACATTTAATGGAACATAGCTTTTCATGGACTAATATCTGAACTGCTTAGAGGAATCCCTTTCTGTTAAAGAGAAGGACAGTACTGCAATAAACACCTATGCAGTGATAGTTTGGTGTAGATCCAAGTCTCTGTGGTCCCTGCTGCTAAAGGTACTATTTGTGGAGCAGGTTCTCGGTGCATCCTGTTGGAGCACACTGACTTCCTGCACGACCGTGGGCTCCTGCCTGGCCCCTATGACCTTTGCATCAGTATGTAGGGAATAGGGCTGCAGTGCTCTTAAATGGTCTATTTTTCTGATGTATGTTATGTTTTTTCCTTATAAAAGACATACCAGTAGTTGTGTTTTATCTCATCACACGTTTCACACACAAACCCTGCATAATTAGGATGTGTTCTCTTTCCAAACTGAAAAACAGGAAGTACTCCACTGTGTTTTTAAACTCAATACACTTTCACTAGAATAATTTCATTTTAATTTCTAATCTCTACAGAAATAAAGGTAAAAGGTAGCTTTTAACTGGAAAACTACATGACATTACAAAGTGGAACACAGCATTTTAAGCTTTTTAGATACAGAGTGACTTATAATAATAATGGTTTATTCAAACATGTGTGAATGAACAAAACACAACTCCAGGTATGTTTTTGATAAGGTATGGTAAAAACTCACATGAGCCAATTTTGCGTAATATATGACCTTCAAGTACTCTGCAAAAGCATCTAGTATGTCTTGCCTGTAGTACATGTTAATTATTTTTTTTATCCCCAGTTAAAATAAGAACAATTACGCATCAGCTGTAGTCCTTAGTAGGCCTATCAGGAAAACACGTTTTGAAGCTTGATATACTGCAGCAAACTATAAAACTGATACTACTTTATGCCACTGACACGAAGAAGGATAATCCCAGTGAACCAATTTTTACATCATTAAAAAGTGTGAAACAAATAAACAACAAAATTAAATTAAATCATATTACATAAAAATGTCTAAAATCTCCCCACTATTGCAAAGAAAAAGTACCCGCGAATATATTAATTCCAGCTTTCATATATTGAGTAATAAGTTGATATTGTAATTACATTAGTTAGCCATGTATACTGTTTTAGAATAAATAAATAGGAACCAACATCGTAATTAATTTAACAAATTGCATCTGTACCTTTGAGAAGCCATGGTAGTATGTGTGGTTTTATGATCAGATTTCACATTCCCACGTGATTGCCTCGTAACGTGGGTGAAGCAGAGAGGGACGGGTTAAGGCGGAGGAGAGTCACTGATATTGATGAATTGCTCTCTCTCTTCCTTTCTCTTTCTCTCTCTCCCTCTCTCTCTGCAGCTGCCTTCTCTGTGTTCCCCATTTGCGTTCAACCAATGTGCATAACCTGATTATTGCCAATGTAATTTCCTGAAAGAAAAAGAAAAAAAAAACAATCAAGGTCAATAATGATGACCGTGTGAGGAGGTGGCGGTAGTGATACTGTGATTGGATAAAAGCTCCAATGTTGTGGTGTTGTGTTGCTTATCTCACGCTCCACAAATATTGCAGCCTGTCCCCCGGGTTCACCTCTGCTCCCAGCGTCTCACTTTGCTTTTGATTGACAGAGAAAAGCAAGACAAGCAAGCAAGACTTCGACCAGGCCTCAGCTCCCTGCTACTATAATGACAGACAGCCCGTTACTTAACATCAGAAATGAAGCTGTTGTGACTGGTTTATTGCTGTGGTGTCATTATGATAGCATAAGTATCAGGGCTGAATGATTTTCTATCCAATATCTACTTGCAATTTTTCTGTTAAATGATTATTATTTGATTTGCAGTTTATGTTTTGATAGTAGGAATCCATTCACAGTTCCTGGAGCATTCGCATTTGAGACTGAAATACGAACTGCGAAATGAATACAAGAGTCATATATATTTCTGACTAAGTTTGTAGGGATCTGAACTACAGGGTTAGAAGGATTTTACATAAGATCAGATTTGCCTTGTACACACAGACTGCCACACAGAAAAACAGAAAAACACACATATGACAGAGAGCATGACATTAGGCTAATACATGAAAAAAAAAAAAATATATATATATATATAATAACACTACCACCAAATTGCAAAATTGCGATTTAGATTTGATTGTGATATATCTTGCAGCCTTAGTATTGAGTATTAGATTAGAGTAATAGTAGAAGAAGGCGAGTTGTTATTCAGTTGGTCATGTTTGGGTGTGGCTAATGCACTTCCAGACACACTCAATGCATCACAACATTAGAGGCACATTACCTAAACACTCTTCTTGTCAATCCTTCAATCACAGACACACTGCATAGTAACTGATGGATGTAGAGTCCCTCCGTCCTTTTCAAATACTCTTAACAGGAATAACTTAACCTTAACTAATATATAACCTTATATGTATGCTCCCGTATCCATCTTTGCCCTGCATTTTTCCTTACCCTACCTTTTGTATGTATATATTTATATTTCACTTTGACAAATTTTATGCATATGTCTACTTATTATTTACATTTTATTACGATTTATTTACTATTGCTGTTGAACTGTGTCCAAATAAATTCCTCTGTGAAACAATACATTCCATAGCAAAAGTCTCAGTTTACATCATAAAGCAAATAGCAAAATAGGAGCTACCAAGTGATCACCATTAAATAATAATAATAATAAAAAATTACACATGAATTTATTTGAAATTGTTTTGGCCGATCTCAGTACTTTGAACAGACAAACATACATGTAAAGACCAATCAGTCAATGGGAGTGTAATGCAAAAGCTCTACATGGTTTTACAATTAGGTAAGATTATTGTTCCTCCCAAGTATATGGAAGGGGGACATTGCCCACTTCTCTTTTGTGAATAAGTCTGTGTGTCTCAGATATTGTGAAGGCCCTGTGGTGAGTAGTATAGAGCTGAGGTGTTCTTTGTGGATCAATCACTCATAGCTTCAGGCAACAGAGACATTTAAGTCCACACAGGAGTGAAGACATCTTTCTGTTTTTTAAATATTTTTATTAATTAATTAATTTATCATTTCCTTTCACTGGCCTATCCTTGAATAATCTTTGTACCCTAGACATCCATCACTGCCCACACCCTGAAAGGCTTTCTTTGGCCACATTTATAATGCATCTCACTGTTACGTAATGAGCAGGACTACAGTGGACTACAATAGTGTGGCAGCTGTCAGAGCACCAGGGCGCCAATTACCACAAAGCATACAGACACGTAAAGTCACTGGGGCTACTTTGTCACTTTCACCTTCGTATTAGAACAGAGGAGGACAGTGGAGGAGTGAAGGAGAGACAACAAGAGCAGAGAGGAGACAGGAAGGGAGAGCATGTGAATGTGTCTGCAATGAGACAAATAAACATGGGAAACAAGAATGGAAAGGAGGCAGAGGATGTCATGTTTGTGTATTCCATAGATGTATTTAATGATGAAGGATAGAGCTGCATGGAATCAGCTCAGGAATTCCTACTATTCATCCACATCCATAGACTCTATATAAGGATGTATCAAAATATTCTGTAAATCTTAAGAAACATATTATTATGACCAGTATGTCTAAATGACCTTGCCTTTGTAAACAGATGCAATTCTACAAGGAATTTGAGGGTATGCAATATGAATAGCATATTCTCATATCCTCATTCTATAGTATATTCTTATTCATTATTGTGGCCTTGTTCCTCCCTTGGGCTTCAGCTGTATTTTCCAGTGGAAGTAGGACGATTGGTTTGAGAAATGCAAATGGTGGAAGATAACTCCTTGACCCTTTACCTCATGTGTATTTGTCTGTGTTTTATAGGTGCAGGAGTGGTTGTGTCTAAACTGTCAGATGCAGCGAGCCATGGGGATGGACATGAACACACCGCGCTCCAAGAGTCAGCAGTCGCTCCACTCCCCCTCAGCAGCCAAAATGGACGTCCCACCACAGCCTGCCCCCCAAACACGACCACCCTCCCAAACACAGACACAGACACAGCCCGGCCCCAAACCCCAACTACAGCAACAGCCGCAAACAAGGTCCCCTGCTGCCATGGCAAAGGCCCCCTCTCAACCAGACCTATCTCGCAACTCTCCGGTCCACCAACCACACCCCCCTCGACAGGACCAGACACGGAGTGCGGGGAGCTCGCCATCACGGCAACCCCCTCCTCCAGAGCAGACTTTTGGGAAATTGTTTGGTTTTGGTGCATCTCTGTTAAACCAAGCCAGCAATCTCATATCAGAAACCATTGAAACAATTGAACCCCAACAGCAGCAATCCCCCAAACCTGCCCCCAAACCCAGCCCCAGTTCTGGGTCCTTGGCTGGGAAAGCACCAGGGCCTCAACAAGCAGCAGCAGCAGCAGCAGCAGCAGCAGCAGCAGCAGCAGCAGCAGCAGCAGCAGCCCCCTCCTCCTGAGCCTAAAGCCAAAGTGTGCTGTCCTCTGTGTAAGACCACACTGAATGTGGGCACCACCACAGAGGCACCCAACTACAACACCTGCACCCAATGCCACGCCCAAGTGTGCAACATGTGCGGCTTCAACCCCACACCCCATATAGTTGAGGTAAGATGACACTGTTTGATGTACACTACTACGTTTTACATATTCATTTCCTTGGGTGTTTTTTCTCCATAGTTTAATATTTGTTGTTTTTTTTTTAGGACAAAGTACAGTTGTGCAGTGGACAGTATAGTGCTTTCCTATAGATGTACATATTAAAATGCAAAAAAATGTATTTAGAGGATAATAAATTATATTATAATTAAACTATAACTTGACACCTGCAATCTTTTCGGTTACTATGCTGCAAATAAGAAGTGTCATTTGCAGAAATGGTGCCATTGTGCAAGTTTGAAATATTCACATTATTTGATATAATGTCATTCATTTCAATGTGAACGATATTGTGATATTTTCCAGTAAGCGCACTATGCACTTTTATGAATTCTTATGAGCTCCTGATGTTGCTGTGTTGTGGTGGAGATCAGCTGCATTCTGGGTATTGGTCTGACTTTAGAAGTTGTTTTTCTTGGTTTGTCTTCAGTGTCAGGCCTGATCTTGTTACAACATTTCTGCAGTCTGTGAACTGTCCTTAAATCACATCTGCCTTATGCTCCCTTTTGTTTGTGAAGTCTATCCAGGAAATTCATTTGATACTATATTGATTTATACATATACCCAGAATGAGCAAAACTAATCCTATTGTAAACCAGGATTCATGAACAAGTACTTATCATAATAATAATATATTGGATTTAGATAAGCAAATGCCGCTACACTACGCACCTGTTATTTTCATCCAAGTACTAACCACACCCATTTCTGTTTTGTTTCCAAGACTGGACAAATTAGTATGTCTAAACCAAGACTATGTGGTCTTAATCAAATACTAAATTATGATTAACATTGCCTCTGATCACAATATTCGTGCATGCCACCACTGTTATGCCAGCAGCACAGTTTGAGAACCACACTCTCTCTTCTCTCTATTTTCTGTCTCTGTGACATATTGTAGATACAGTTAACTGGACGTTGATTCAAATAGTGAGTAACTATTTTCCCCTGAGGTTGCACAGACACACAATGTACAATATGTAGCAGGAAGCTTATCAAGTCAAATGTAATAAAGTGAGTATTGACTGGTCATACGCAGGGGTCACATGAGGTTGCTGTCTTTTAAGTCCTCTGCTATGACACTCAAGAACAAGGAGGGGAATTTCTCCCGAGAAGAGTAATAACAGGGTTTAATTATGCAAATGCATCCCACTGAATGATAGCAGTAATAACAGCTTTCTGTGGAGCGCTGTCTCTTTATGGCCAGCCTTGTCTTTGCAGGCATCTGGCTGTCACCGTCACACAGGCCATTCACATGCACACAATGTGAGTCAGGCACCTCCTTATCATTAGAGGTGGTTAACGTAGCCCAAAAGTAAGACTTTCTCTTTTCAGTCTAATTCAACTTGTAGAAGTAGTTGTCAAAATGCTGGTTGGTAAAAATAGACAACTTACTGTTGCCAATATCTCATTTGTGATAATGCAATCTGTCAAAACATAAATGTTGGAATACTAGTAATTCTAATACAACAAAAAACACATCCTCCAGAATAAGACATTTGTGTTTATAGTGTGTAAAAAAAAACACTTTTTTTTGTAAAAAGAGAAGGTGTAAAGAGGTGGCTATGCTATAGGTACCAAACATATACTAGGGCCTTTAAAATAATTATACCCGAGTTGAAGTAAACAGTATTTTAGACTTAGACTAAACTGTATTGATCCACAGGGGAATTTATCTAGACACAGTAGCTACACACATTACAATATAGTATAACAACAAAGAGTCCAAATATAAATGTTAAATAAAAATTCTAAATAAGTAACAAAATTAGACTGGTGTCAAATAAGGCACACATAGATCTTTTAAAAATAAATGTAATGTAATGAATTCTTCTCATATCTCTGTTTTTCTAAATGTTTGGCTATCTGGATACATAAGTTTGAAAACCATCACTTTTCTCCATCTACAGCTATTTTATTAAAGGATATATTTCTGCTTGACTAGTTATTATCCACAACTCAATGAAGGGTGAAACTGCTTTATTTGTGAACCTGCGCGTGCTTTGTTTTTACCGTCAGTGTGTGCTGTCGGCAGATGCGTCGCCGTGGCAATGGAGTGGGTGAAAAGAGCTGGGAGAAAATGCTTTGTGTTTCGGATTGAGCTCTCAGCGTGAGCTCCACAGACCGTTTGGCACATTCTTCCTCATCGTCCGCCCCTAAACTCTTTCCCCATGGTTGCCTTCCTCTATCCATTCCTGTTCCTGTCTGCTACATAGAGAAGTGTTTTTGGACTCAACGTTTTGTCAGAGCAGGGACATAAAGACTATTGCTTTTTAGTTTGAAATGTTTGGTTTGGTGAAATCTGTTTTGAAGCTTGAGGATGTGTGGAGGTGTGCTAAAAACTAATGATAGGAGACTGACTATACAAGCCTAGGTTGGAAAAATTAGGAAAATTTTCTAACTATATTGCGATTCACATTTTTCAATAAGGATTAATGCCACATTTAAACACACTAATATAACAATGAATAGATTTCAGTAACAACCCTTGGGCTTGATTCTTTATTTCTCTTCTGGGAAAATGCCTTCAGTTTAACCCTGCCGTAGGAAAAGACTGTTATAACTGGAGTTGTTTCTTTGTGGAGATAAAAAGAAATAAAATCTGAGTAAGAGGGGTTGAAACCGCAAGTACAACAAACAAACTATTGAACAAAGTCAAATTCAGATTGGCTTTTTGTTGATGATTTTCTCTTTCTCTCTAAACTTTGTCTGGAATGACAGTGGCTCAGGTGATAGGATTTGACTTACTAGACTTCATTGGAGCTACACACTGAAAGTGGAAAAAAGAATAGAGGCATTTAAAGAATGGTCAGGCCCCAAAGTAAAATCCACAATGATGGCACAGAGATGGAACCAAATACATATGAGTGTCACTTGCTTAGCGCACTACTGCACACAGAAGAATTTTTAAATTCTGTGATCAAACAAATCACCAATCTTTTCTATCTTGTGGGTTTGGTAGCAATCCAATGATTCCTTTAGTTCTTCATTTTGATGAAAGGAGAGAGCTACACCAGCAAGGACATCTGGTGTAAGAACATGAAAATAAACCATTAGTGTAAAGTGAAAAGCCAAGCTTAAAGTGTTGTCCATTCTACTCAGCAAAATGGGACCTGCATATATTAACTACATATTTATGTTAATTCATTCATACACAGTGGTGCAATTATTTTATTCAATATATAATAATATTTTTTTCTGAACTTCAAGTCACTCCCACGTGTAAGAAAGCCTATATGTTTTGACTACATCGATCATCTATTTGAAATGACAGATTAATTAGTAACAGTAATAAAGTAATAAAGAAAGCCCTATAGGTTAGACCAGTATACAAAACATGTCATTTTACTGGCTGAAACAAAGACTTGGTAATTACAATATGTCCCTGAAGGCATCTCACACCTACCTCTTATGTTTAAATGCGTTCTTCAAATATGGACCTAGACAATGAACATTTTCCCCTTGCTGTTTCTGTTTGGTGGGTTGGTGCTTTTATGTGTCCAGAGTTCAGAAAAAGACTGCAGGAAAATAAACTTGTGAGTACAAAAAACATCTCTTTAATTAGTTTCCCAAAGTCATCGAAAATAAATAGCATGCCTAGTGTGTAGACTGTTATTTCCAATACACATCTTAAGAGTATCACCTTAGTCAACTGTATCACCCACAATAATTCAAAGTGCTTTACAGAATAAGAAATATAAATTATTATTTTTTCTTCATAATAGATCAATTTCATAAAACATAGAATATCCAAGTTAACTATAATAATTACATTCTGTCTGTGTTTGCTGTAAGCATTCACACAAAGATATGCTAATTACAGTTTTTGTTTTGGAAAATGTATACTTCTTAATGAGATTCATACTACTTGTTAATCATTGGTACTCCCCAGAATTACTTGAATGAATAAATATTTTTGCTCTGGTAGTTAGGGATGTATCTGAACTGATTAGAAACATGAGGCTCAGAGAAATTATTAAACATTATGAGAAGGCTGTAACTGCTGTTGATTGGTTATGTCTATATTCTCATACATTTCTGGTAGTTTTAAGTGCAGTATTGGTCCAGACACCCAGGCTCCCAGACCCCCAGGCTTTGTGTGTGTTAGTGTTAGGACTATTTTATTATACTCTATGCAACTGTATTTGTGGAGAACAGCTGCACAGTCCTACATGGCCTACTTAATCATGTTGATGTATGCTTTGCTTGTCCTAATTTTAACAGATACTGACCCAAAGACACTCTAAAGAGCTACTGTTCTGGGGATGCTCTGACACTGACACAGCCATTTAGCTCCTCATTCATTTGCAGTGGCTGAACAGGTAGAATGTTTGCCCTCTAACATTTGCTTATGTTTGGTTTGGCCTAAAGATAGTCTGACCCACTGCATACTGTTGTTTATTTCTTGGGCAAGATACTCTACCCATTGTATGAAGGTGTTTTGTATATGTGAACGACTACTGGTGTTTGGAAAGGCAGATAGCGCAGACTGGCTGCCTTTCTTCCACCAGTCTACCCCAGGGCAGCTGTGGCTATAGATGGTGCTTGAATTAATATGAATTAATTAATAATGCATCATAAAGCATCAAATGTATTATTATTTATACTAAATATCTGTATACTCCAGAAAGATTTAATTCACATTTCCTCTGCAGCAGTCATCGTGTGGACACAGACACACGTTCTCCAATTGTGAGACACTTTAGTTAACACTGATGATGATTATTCTCCGGCTGTGTTAGCTGTTAGCATACATAGGGTTTTGCTAATTACAGTGAGGGGAGGGTCTGACACAATGCGTTATTTTCCCAGCAGTGTCACTAAAACATTATTGTTCCCATTGCCAGTTTTCCCACATACCAGACATTTTGTTCCCACGGTGGGCCCGGAGCACCATCCCACTCTCCATTTCTATGATCTACAGCATAATAAAGCATCAGTGCAATGCC